TCATCATCATCATCATCATCATCATCATCATCATCATCATCATCATCATCCACAATGTTACAGGGAATGGGATACACCCAAGGTATACAAACATGGTCCCCAAATAGTTAGTGGCACGGTTTCCACTACATTCTCTAGTGGGGATCGACTGTTTGCATCTCCCTTGGGGGTCCAACCTGGGCGTCGCAAACAGTCGACGAGGCCTCCGTGATGAGGAGGCAGAAGGTGCCCCAACGGAGGTGCGGCCGCGGAAAGGGGGGAAGGTGCGAACCGTGGTTCGACCGACCGGCCGTAGATGTGAAAGGGTCCAGCTGGTTTTGGAGGATGGTTTTGGAGCTGTGCTGAGGGACTGCAACTTCTGGGGTTGGGGAGCCTGTTTGGGGTTGTTGGGGTTGAACTGGGATGAATCTCGTTTCTGTTCGCTTGCATGGCACTGCCTCGGTGAGGCAACGCGCGAGTGCTCGGTGAAGGCTGAGTTGCAGTGAGAAAAAGGGCTCGCCTGGGCAGGATGTTGGTTATATCAAGTCCGCACTACCCTATCCCTCCTACCCTGGTATGGTCCCTGAGCCCCGAAAACAGCGACCACTCAGAGGAACTACCCGTTCAGCTTGTCGGAGGAGAGAAGGACATTGTGGGCGCCTGGGCATTTCGGACGACCTTTGGTCGTTGCTGGACCCGCAACCTTTGGTCGTACCAAAACGACCTCTTGAAGTAAAGCTGGGATACACCGAAGACCAACGTCTGGACCCTGTTTTCACCACGTCTGTTGGTATTGGAAGAGCCTTTCCGGGGTCGCCACGGGGCGACGGAAACGGCAACCGCGACGGGTCGGCGGGTCGACCGAGGTGGCTTGGGCCACGCCTGGCCGCACGCGGTGGGGCTGCTGGAGCTCATGGACCGGCGCCAGCAACACGACGCTTCAGGCGAGGGAGGGGGGAGGAATATATATATATATATATATTATAGAGTTTTACATTTTTTTTTCAGGAGTGGTATGGGAATTGAAGTGGTGTTTGGTGGGAAGGTTGACTGGGAGGTTGGCCTTGAAGGGCTTGTAAGTGGGATAAGATGTCGTTCATCGGATTCTTCTGTCGTTCATCGGTGAAAGAGGAGGAACCGATCTTGAGGACCATGGGCACCTCAGGGGCCATGGTCGACCTCGCCACCCTTCGGCTCGTGGCCAGGCTCGGTCTGGAATGCGGTGGCGTGGGCTCTCCAGGCGGTGGGATCGCGTGGAGCCGCTCCGTGGAGCTTGAGGGTGATGTATCGATGGACCCTCAAATGGATCCCCAAGAGAAGACGAACAGTGGATCTAGTCACTAGATCCTGAATTGGGAACCATGCCAGATTCTCTTTTTGAGGACCATGTCTTTTTCTGTGATCGTAGGTGATCCATTGTAAGATGGGAGACGGTGATCCTTTGAAGGATCCAGCCCATCTTTGTGATGGATCATGGTTAATCATGGGTCTTTTTGGAGGATCATGATGGGATCATAGGTCTGCGGACTCGTGGGTTGCTTATGATATCTTGTGAGAATTCCTTACACGAGGGTTGTAGAATCTAGAGATCGTTTGCGTCAAGAAACGTTTTGAATAGTAACTATCATGCCACGTATTCCAGAAGCTGCAGTTTTCATGGAAGCCCAGATACTTGGCCTCCAGAATCCGACCGGTTTTGCTGCGGACCACGAGAAACTTCCATCACTTCTTCAACCGAAAAGCTTCGAAACCAAAGACCCTAGAAACCTCCCCCCACTCACATGGCAGTGGACTTGAGCTTTCCTTTAGTTTGATGAATTTAGGATGGTAAAGGGATGTCAAGGGTAACAACAGTGTACAGACAGTTGATGATCTTTCAACCCCCTATAAAAAGACTCTCCCCATCCCAACTTCGGGGCCGATCCTCCGAAGGGCCGGGCCGCCCGGCACCGTATGCCAGGCCGCTGGCCGCGCGTTGCCCCCGGTGCCCGCGACCGTGTCGGTGGACCTGCGGTCGGGGAAGCCCTGGACCCGTCGTGCGGGCGAAGAGCGGTGGTCGCTGGTGCGGCAGGTGTGGCACTGCGCACTGAGAGAGGTGCCCAACCCGAAGCAAAGGCTTCCAAGAAAAGGCAACTCCTCCTTCTTCGGTCACTTTTCTTCCGCGGCTCCGAGTCCCCCCACCACCACGCCCTGGAGACTTCGGGTGGGACACCACCGCCGCCCGCGGTGTGGAACTCGTGCGCCGAGGAAGGAGCATGAGGTGGTGAACTTCGTGCGACGTCGGGCGCAGGCCGACCACGGGGCGTGGCAGCCTACAGGGCCAACAGAGCATGTGAATGGGCAGGTGCAGATCTAAGA